TGCTTTCCTGATTTGGGAAATAAGCTGTTTCAGGTATGAATCTAGGCATGACTTTGTTTTCTTTAATGACTGAGTTAAAAGTGAGGGTGTGAACATTAGTTATGGCAACACTTTTTAAGTGGTAAAATTCTTTTTGGAGTTGAGATAATCAGCTGTCCAGATTAACAAAATATGTATAATAGCTATGACATATTTATAAGAACAGTTTTTATGAGGCAGATGTTGTGTCTGTGTTTTATTCATTATTTATCATTGCACTGAACATAGTGGAACATGGTAGGTGGTGCATAAATATTTGTTGAATGAACAAATGAATGAATTCTCTTGAAAACTGATTTATAATCATTAAACAGTCTTCTCGATGATATCTCCTTAAGAAATAATCTGCAAACCAAGTTCAGTTAGCCGAATAGAGAAAGACATTACTTTTAGTTTTTCTGGGTTAATAAAATAAAGGGTTATAATTATTTGTCCTTGACTCTTATAGTTATTTAACTCTCAATTGAACTAAAGGTTTCAGTTTAAAAAAAAAGTATGAGCCGTAGAAATGGGCTTATGTAGACATAAGCCCAATTTTTCTTTTAAATTATTGTAAAATCAAGAAATCCAGCCACCTCATTTTATTTACCACTGATAAATACCCATTGTGTTCATTTCTCTGACAAACTAATAAGATTTCAAGGCTCTCTTACTCCTATGTCTAACTAACACCCAAATTGTTCCCATTTATTTTGATTTAAAATAATTATGATCATGATAACAATAGCTTAATAAAATAGTAAGTGCCCTCCTACACCAAACTCAAAAGCATAGCCTATAACATATTTGAAATGAAACAAAATTCTTCTAAAGTATATTTGAATACACATTAGAAATTGAGTTGCTATTAGAAGGTTAATATTGTCAGCACATAAAAAATGGAATATAAAATCATAGGGTCATATTCTTAAAGGCATTTCAGATGGATTTCTCAATCACTGCATTTGAATTATCTGATAAAAACTGGGTTATTCTAGAATAGATTTTACAAATTTATTTTAAGTATTGGGGAAATTTATCGATGTTAAAACACTATTTATTTATACTAGATAAACCTAACTCTTGCTCTTGATCTTGTTCTTAGTGATGTAAAATACATTAGTGTGCCTTTTAAAAAAAATCCCTCTACAGTTTAACTGATTTCTAAAGGATGATGTTTTTGAAGTTGCGATGAGTGATCTATTAGAGTCTGATTTAAGTCCTTACTGAAGCATAAATTAAGAGAGATCCATGGTTTACACAGTGTGCCCACCTGTGAATACTGTCCAACTAAAGAATGCTCCAAAATAAAAATGTCTTTAAAAATTTGAACACACAGCTTCAATACTGCTTAGCATGTTTATACTAAAATTGCAGAGCTTTTATAAACAAAACGTCACATAGTCTTTCTGATTATCTAGGCCATTTTTCTGAAACTGATCACAAGGACGCCAAGTGAGAAAGTGTGAATTGTTCAAAATTCATCACCACTAAAGAAAACGTTAAAGTTTATTTGCCCTTAAAAGATTACTGGTATATTCATTTACAAAAGGGAGGGCAGGATTATTTAGATTTTGATTACAGATTCTCTCTCTCTTTGCCTGTTTTGGAAATAATACTTGAGTTAACATCTCAACTGGGACAAGGGCAAAGAGATTCCTAATTAAAAAAAAACTTCTAAAATTAATATTTTTGTTTTTCTATCCTTCTATGTAAATAATATTTCTACTTTTTAAGCATTTATTTATCGCCTAGTAGGGTGCTTTGTCGGGGTAGAAAATAGGCAGATGACACGGTGCAGGAGCTTACAATCTTATTAGAGAAATCTGAAGCAATTAGAGAATGCCATCGTATCATGTAAAACCAGAGACAAATTACATATAATCTAGGTATGCAGAGAAGTGAGAAATTAATACCGGTTAAGGTGATCAAAGATGAAACTTGAGTGGGCCTATGGATTGAGTTGGATAGACTGCGGGAAAAGGAGAAGTCTGTGCCTGTATGTTGCAGGAGGTGTCTGTGTGTATTTATGTGGTATTGATAAGGAATGGAAAATAGCAAAGAATGAGAGAAGAAAATGGATAGATGAGAACAGTGTTATATCATAAAAGGTCTTAATAATGGGCTTTCAATTTGATCCTATATATACAAGAGAGACATTGAAGGTTCTTAAACAGTGAGGTCAAATTCTAAACCACTCAAAATATTAGTCCCATGCTTTCTTCCTATTATGTACTTTCAAGCTTTTCAAACTCTCCTATTAATGAAGATGTTTTTTCCTCGTGTCACTTGTTTCTATCACTGAAACAACCCTACTGTTTTAATTTCTTATGTGGCTTCTCTTTGGTGATTGGACATGTGTCCTGCTATATCTTGGTTTCCGCTACTAATGGAAAAATGTATTTAACTATATTTTTCTGTCTCCTGCCATAGAGGAACATCTAAGGAGGAAGTCGGATCTACAATTTCCTTTATATTTCCCCTCTGTTCATTATAATGAACACTCTAAAACTGATCATGACTATCAATATAAGTATAGTTCTAGCTAGTTGAAAATAGAATAGTTCTTGGTTGAATATTTATGAGAATCTGTTTTATCATGTACATACAATTTAAGCTGGTTTTTATATTATAACAGAGAGCAAATATTCTTCAGCAAAACTCAAAACAGTAGAAAAAGTCTTTCTCTTTATCTTTTCTTCCTGAAAATGACAGTTTTTCATGCCCATGATGGAAATACAAAGCACTAGAGCTGTGGAACTGCAGAAAATGCTCAAGACCTTCCAGGCATAACAAATAATAGCACCACAGAGAGGAACACAGGTTCTTTCTGCATCAGGGAGCTGAGTGGCATTATATCTAAAAGCATTGATGCAATAATTGTGCAGAATTCCCAATGCACAGTGGGTGTATCAGAACCATGTAAAAATGGGAACATTTGTTTCATTGAATTATAAATTCTAGGATGCATGACTATTTTTTCATGCTACCTACCAAATTCTTTATTAGTAGCTAAAAAGTTACTACCATGATAAGAATAATATCTTTTCTAGTTCATTCTCTTAAAAGTCAACAAGCCACTGGACTCAAAATATATAAAAAAGGGTGTTTTATGATAACTAAATAGTTTTTGTTGTAAATCAGAAATTATAAATTAAAAAATGCACCATTAATTATAGCCATTTAAATCTAAGCCCTGGGTGTGATTAAAAATAGAGGAAATCGCTTTTCTATCTGGTTGAATTTAAAAGCCAATGTCTTCATGCATGTAAGGCATAGCAAAAACAACTATAAAAAGAAAACTAGATTTGTGTTCGTTTTACAAGTCTTTAAGACTAAAACCTCAGCCAAGACCAGATTCAACTGAAAGATTTATTAAGCACACAGTACAACTCCTTGTACACAGTAGGTGCTTATTAAGTATCTGTTCAAAGATAGATCATTCTGTAATTGCAAACTGTGAAGGTACTAAAATACCTTCCTAAATTTTATGTTTCATGTATCTGAAACAGGAACTTGAAACAAATTTGACACTCTCTAAAATAAATCCATGAATTATTTATAATTGAGAATAAAACATAAAAAGGAATAACAGGGCACAAATATCCATAATTTGGTCATTTGAAATGGAAGCAGAACATCAAGTCTGTCTGATTAAAATTAAAAGTGCTATTATGAAGTTAGCATATGAATAAAGCAGGAGCCCAGTGAAAGAACATTTTAACATGCGAAGATATTCTTTAGCATTGATATCAACAAGCTGGGATCAGCTTGGGCCTACAACTGCTTAGGCAGGAACCTACTTAGTTGAAATATTGTACACAGCAAGTGGCTCTCAGTGGATCAATGTCAGCTGTGGGAAGCTATGTATGTCAGAAATAACCACGTCATTATTGTCCTGGGGACATTGCTGACCCAGATGGGCAAACCATAGATTTTTCCAAGCTGGAGGAATTTTAGATCAACCCCTTTATTACTCAGTTGAGGGAACTAAGAGGTCAAGCGAATTGACCATGGCCTGTAGCTGGTCAGCAGCTCAGTGTACCACAGGATAATTAAATAGAAACTATGCTTACTGAGACCACAAATATCCCCAAACTGGAGTGTAGGAGGGGGGAGGTGGCAGCGACTGTCACTTTAGAAGATGGAATCACCTTGGTATAATTACTGGTAAAGTAAGAGGTCAAATAAAAAGAACGAAGCTGAATTGGAATGAATGAAGGGGGATTCAAACGGGCAAAACAACAGCTTTAAAAAATGCAGTGAAGGATGGCCAGGTGTGTGAACAAGAGACTGTGAATGAGTCAATAGTTAGAAAAGTGTGAGGACCATGCGGTTGCATGAATACCAAGCAAACAGGACTCATGATGTAATTCTGCCGTGATAGTCTCCATTAATCATCCCTTTCCTATGTATAGTTATGAAGGCTAGTTACAGAAGGCTCTGGAGAGATTTCAGAGCAGGGAAATAAGTGTAAGTAGCTGGGACTTGGCTGGGAATGATGATCTTGAACGGTGGACTTGAAAAGCAGATTTGACAACACACTCCATGAAAGAATTTTACCCAGCCTATGACAATCATCCATTTAAAATCTCCACTTTACATACAATGTCACAAAACTGATTTAGGACTGAAGACTATGAGCCAGATCAAGGTAAAACTCTCCACGGAGTATGAGTGGTGTAGCCTACTTGTAACATTTGAGGGATCTAATCTGAGCAATGTCCCTCTAAAACGTCATTTGAAAGATCAGATGGATTCTCCTGCTTCTGTGGTAAGAGGATCCTACGTGAAAGTGGGGAGGGGTATTAGGCCATGACTATGATTCTTGGCTTCCCTGAGATTCTCCATGGGAAAAGAGGAGATCAGCAAGAGGGAGCTGAATTCTGAAGGCTGGAGCTCTGTTTCTGCTCAGTCATTTCAGCTCCCATGAGTCTCTAACCTTCTTCGATTATTTTTTTTTTAAATCAACAACAACAGCAGCAGCAACAACAACAGGCAACATTTATTAAAAGTTCACTCTGGGCTGGGTACTGCAGTGAGCGCTTTACATCCATGTTTTGCCTATTACTAACTTGTGCAAGTTACTTAACTTCTCTGTGCTTCAGTTTCTTCATTTGCAAAGAATGGATAGCAATGCCATCTACTTATTGTGGTAATCAGAGTTAAATATGAAGAATATTTAGAACAGTCTTTGGCAGGAAGTAAGTACTTAATAACGGTTGTTCTTATTATCTCACTTAATCTTCAAAGCCAAGCGTTGAAAGTAGTGCTTGCTACTACCTATTCCCTCATTTACAGATAAGCAAATTCAGATTCAAAGAGTTTAACTAACTTATTCAAGATCATCAGGCCAGCAAGGAACAGAAGGACTTCAACTTCCAAGTGTTGTGCCTTTTAACCTCTATGCCATGCTGACCCTCCCCTTACAGGGACCTCAGTGCCAGCCACATCGCATTAAACTTCTCTGATTAGTAGATCTCTGGGTTGAACACATCATGAGCTTTCAGATCTCTTTGCCGTTTGCTCATTTCTTTATTTCCTCTGTCCGAAACGGCTTTCCTAACTTTGTCAAGAAGATAAAATTAAAGTGATCCTTCGAGACTGAGTTCAGTTGTCACTTTTTCTCTCTCACCTTCCTTCTCCCATCTTCACAGAGTTAATTGCCTATCTGTGTTTCTTTAACACTTCTCTCACATACCTCCCCTACAGCACTTATCACATTGTCTCATAATTTGTTTGTGTCTCTGCTGCTATAGATGGTGAACTATGAGGGAACCAGTAAAAAGGAAAATTTAGTTAAGATGCCAGACTCTCTTCTAAGGGCTTCACAAGGATGCACTCATTGAATCCTCTCAATAACCCCAGGACGTACGTCCTAGTATCCCCTTTTTATTGAAGAGGCATAAAAAGGTTAAGTAACTTGCCCAAGATCATACATACAGTAGGCATACAATAAATGATTGTTGAATTGAATTATGTTTAAGCAAAAATGCTTACTAGAAATGATCAAAAATTTCCTTTTTCACTGGAGAATATGAACTCTCAATTCAACATTTTTTTGATGGAGGAGAAAAGAACAAATTCCTCTTTCATCTAGTCAGATTTTTGCTTTCTTAAAGCTATGAAAAAAAACCCCAAATTAATTTTACCTAGTTTAAGCTTGATTATCAATCCAGCTTTAAAGTTTTTAATATTGTAATAACTTTTTCCCATGATATAATAAGTGACTTACTTCTTGACCCCACGACCTTGAATATCCATACAAGTTAAATGTTATTTTATTGTCTATTCAAAGCCTCATAAACCAAGATATGCATTACAGTGTCAATTTAAAAATTTGTGTCAAGAATCTGTTATTTTCCAAACACACAGAGATAAAAAAGGAACTGTTTTCTGCCTCCAAGCTGAGCTTGAAAACCTATGTCTTCCGGAGGATGATGTTGTCTCACGGCACCAGAAGGAGCTGGGGTCTGGCTGCAACGGCCAAGTGTGTGCAATTCTAAACCTCAAACCACCTGTGGCTCCTTTGAGTCCTCTTCCTCCAATCACTCAGAGGGGAACATCTCTTTGCCTTTCTCCAGGGGCCTTTCAGGGCTCCAGCCCTCGTATTAACTCCCTGGTCTAGTGGGAGGAAAACTGGCTTTAAAAGCCTTTTAATCCAAAGGGTTTGAGCAGCTAATGGACATCATCCCTTTGGCAGAAGGAGATGATAAAGAAGCTACTTCTGCATTTTAAAAACCAGGTCTTATTTATATAATCCTTTTATAAAGTTAAAACCTCTTGGTTTTAATATATTTTTTAGAGCCTGTTACATTGGAGTACAACGCAAAAAGAGTTAGCCAAAAAAATCTTTGCTTCGTTGCTCCAGTTCTCAATATCGCTTTAACTTATTTGACTGTTTTGACTGATGGCAAAAAATAAGCTAGTCATTTACAAATGACATCTTTGTTTCAACACTCCATAGACTAATTATGAACTTGTGCCTCAAAATTGAGCAATTCTATCATTTTTAAATGGTGTCAAAAAAGTTTCTGAGGGAATTGGTAAAGTCACAGAACACTAGCAAGCCCAGAGTTGAGAACAACAATAAAAAGTGTCAGCAATAAACAATTATCTTAGTAGACCCTGCAGTTTCCATTCAAAACATTTATAAGAGAATATTAACAAACATGAAAGCGATGTATTTTTGCATAGAAAACAAACTCACAAGTTTTTGGAATCATAAATAGCCCACAATTCTCGTAACCGTCTACCTTAATGTGTTTAGCCAGTATTTGAAACATTACGATTTATCATCTTATCTTCCTTCTTTTCTTTTCATACGGAATTAATATAAGCTGGGATTTTTTTTTTGTTTTAATAACAATACAGTCTATGCCACACGTGGAATAAAATAAAGAATGAAACAAAGCAAATTCATATAATGGTGAATACACAGTGAAGAGTTTTGGTTTTGTTTGCAAGTGTACTACAGTAATCTCGATTGCAACACCACTCAGTTCCACACAGTTTAAATGAAAAGAAGTTTGTCTCTCTATAATTATAAATACATTTCACTGTATTTGCAATAGAAATAAATTTTGAAGGCCAAACTTTTCAACTGATAGGGGGTTAGGGAGTTTTGTTGTATCTTCAATAAGGGACAATAAAAAAATGGAAGGAGTGGCATGCTTTAATAATAAAAGATATGTACCGTTTCACAGTTTGCTCCCATCTTTGCTTGAGCACCATGGGAGGCTCCCTGGGAGTCTGCATCTTAGTGCCTTCCTTACCCAAGCATCCTCACACTAACTTGCAGGAAGTTATGAGTATGGAAGAAAAGACACCTCCATGCCTCTTGAAGGAACTGAAATCTCTCTTATGTGGAAATGGACATTCAGGACACTCAGCAAAACTGACCTGTTATTTTGTATATAGCGTTAACAACATGGGAACTCAGTGTTCCAAAACACAACATGATGATTCATCTAAATGAAGTATGAGCAGAATGGGGGTTCCCTCTGAATTGAGGGAGTATGCCATATAAAAGATCCCAAGGATTACTGGGAAAAGGTAGCAGATAAGGCACTGAAGGGAAAATGGAGAACAGTCCCATTTATGGCCATTAATACCACGTCCATCTTAGAAATGTTTACTATCATAACACTCATAACTCATTGCTACTATGTATTTAATTATCTTTCCCACTAGACTAAGAAATCTGTATGACTGTTCTGCTTGTTTTCCACTGTGCTCCCAGCACCAAGCCCAGTGCCCAACAGACATTCGTTGAGTGAGTGAATAAATGAATAAGCAATTCAGGTAGCGTTCATGGAAGCAGAGGCAAATGGCTATGTGGCCATATCCATGTGTTATCAATACAAATCAGTTAACCTCTATGAAAAATACTGGTGTTAAAATCCAGCCAGCTAACAACATTCGAAAAAGACAACTCAGTCAATAGATTGTCCTACAAATAATTTTTAATCTTATCACTATGGTTCATTTAAATGAGGCGTCTGTGGGAAACTGGGCAAGTTACTCACCTCTTTCTGCCTCTGTTAATATCTGCATAGCATTCCACAGTCACAGACTGAAAGCCTGACTCCAGTCAGGCATCTCACAAATGAATATACTATGCACCAAAGGAACCAGATGAGACAGTACAGACACATCTATGCAAACACATCACCACTATTAAGGAAAACGATTTAAAGACTGCTCAGCTCAGATGTAATTAGTCCAAGAGGGACACATTATTATTGATAATGGGTCTTTCTTACAGGGAAGTTGAACTCCCCAGTGCGAATGTATTTTTATGGGTTGAAGATTAGTAACATTTTCAACTTAAATTAGTTACCAACTGTTTTTAAATATTGAATATTGGAATGGGTGCCAAAAGAGAGAATGCGATTTGGTCATTAAGACACTGAAGCAGACTTTTATTTTATATGATTGCTACCATTACTCATTGACTTACAAATGGCGTTGATTAACTGGGGATGTATCTCACTCACTGCTTGCCCCTTGACCTGAAATGCCGAGTTAGTCAAGAGTAGGCTTACACGAAAGTCACTACAGTTCAGTATTATTCACTGACCATTGGAGCTGATCACTTCCCCAGGCTGTTGGAATCTGTTATTCCAAGTAGCTAGGTGGAGTCAGGCAATCTCACTTGGCTGCTGCTCTTGACCCCTCAATCCCCTACTCTTAATTCATGCCCTGGTGTTCTTCTCTATGTAATGGAGGCTAGTGTTGATAAAATCTGGCCTCTCTGGCCTCAAGATTGTTGCTGAATTTCCTACTGATTGCTGGTGATATTTGAACCTCTAAGCAAAATTCTCTATAAATATAATCATCATAATTATGTCTCTACTGTAAATTTTTTTGAGTTGGAAACATAATGTTATCAGAGTATCTTTCAATAACATTTCCTTTATTGTATTTCGGATAATTATTTTAGTGCCAACAAAGGGCCTTTATTGCTAGATTCAATTCACTGTTGTACATTAAACTTTGTCTCAGATCCAATCAACTTTGGTATAAAGTAAAAATGAGGTCAAACAGTGCTCACTAAGTCACGGCTTGAGTTGTCCTTATAAGAGCAAAATGGAATAGTTGCATATATCATTGAGACATTTCAGTGATTTATTTTTCCTTATTTATATTTATATTCTCTTTACAGAAGTACTGTAGTAATAAAGAATTCTGTTCCATTAGATTCCTAATCTTACTTTTCAAGTACAAAAATAAAATAAGTAAAACCCAAACAAACAAAAACAATGGAAAACAAGCAAAAACAATAACAACTTTCTGGCTTTGTCATGTTATTGTAAACTGTTCTTCTTGCAAGTTATATATTTAGAACCCCAAGTTTCTACTGTGCCCCAAATTTAAATGTGCTATTTATAACAAAATTCTGAAACAACCAACTAAACAGGTATACTTCTCTAAATATTACTGGCTTGTAAGAATAAATAGAGGGATAATTATGATAAGCTACCAAATAATGCTCTTGTGGATATTATTATTTGTCAGTTTATCAGCTTTATGCTCCCTACCATTCATGCATTTCCAGTTCCAGAATATAGAAGCTACAAAAATCAAAAAACAAAACCATAATAAAGCTAGTTTTCCTAGTTTGTGCTTGCCTCCCAGGTCAAAAAAAATTGTTAAGTGCCAAAAATGTAAAATTTATTCCAAAAAAAAGTAACAGGCTACACGGGTAAATTTTGGCAAATGCAACTTTATATTGAAATTCACACATCTGTATCTTAAAGAATGAGACTCACAGACTCTAATGTATTTCTAAAATACCAGAAATAATATTATAAGCTTTCACAAGTTAAAACTGAAATAATTTAAACGACCAATACACTAAATGTGCAGAAAGTATAAACAAAGACTGTGCCTTCGGTAGAATAAATGCTTCACAAATTGTGCAGGATGTCATACTAAGGCTGTGGTCTCCCCTTGACAGCTGATTTAAAATATAAACATACATCAACTGCCTGCTTCTTAGAACCCACTAGAATGGGTAGCACACCTCAGAAGAAAAGCTCATCCCAGTGATGTGCACCTTAATTTTCAAACCATGTGAGGAAAAAGGAAAAAGTTTTAAATGATCGTCCATGCACTTCCAGATGTATGCCCATGACCAGTTACCGATTCCATTTCCCTTGACTACATTCTCCAATTCTAAATAAGATGAAAGATACTAGATAACCCTTAAGGCAACATGTGTTTATTCTGCATTATTAGAACTGCTCGATTGTGACCAGTTGTACCATTAATGTTGCCTCCCAGACCAATATCTAGCATTCATAAAATATAAATGAATCGGAAAAACTTTATACCAAATCAACAAAAATCACATAATACAGCTCAATGCTAGCAATTTCACTAGTAGGTAAGGAAAGTGGTATTTAGAAATAGTAATGTATTAATAAAAAAAGAAAAGTAAACTCTAATTGGAACCAATATACTGCTTTGGAATGCTCCCAAACACTTACAAGGCGATTTTTTAAAAGTGTGATAATCCAATAATTCATGGCACGTCTTTAGTGGATTACAGTACTTTAAGTTCCCAAATATTTCAGTCTTTGCAAAACAATAATTGTATGAAATGTTTTAAAGTCTTCAAACTTCTAAAATTAGTTTTTATCAACACATTTACCTCATGTCAACTTAATTTATTAAGATGTCCAATGCTAATTGTTTTTTGATGTTTTGTCGTAAGTAGTGATATACACAGCATTTAGCACTGATACTTAGCACCTGCTACTTTCATTATCTAGTTTTCAACCACATAAAGAAACTTAGGGCAGTGGTTCAGTCCTTTCTTAATTACAAACCTTCGCCGGCCATCAGCAGGATCACTCTGAGATTTAAAATAGGATTATAGGTGAACTATTGCAAAGACTGCAGAATGTTGCCCAAATCCTTATAACCTCTGATCCCATTCTTGATTTTCTTCTCAAGATATGGCTACAGGCCACAATCGCTTAGCAGAGAAGGTTAGTGTTTCACAAGGCTAAAGATTTACAGATGCTCCTTCATATAACACAGTAAGGTTCCCTTGGTAACCTGGATTTTCTGCAGTAAAGAAGGGTTGTGCTGAAACAGCGCCTCAGCTCCCTGTTGGAGAAAATGCAGACAAAAGGATTGATTCCTGCTTGGGCAAAACTCATCCAGACAGCAGCTGTTAGAAATCCCCCTGGTACTACAGGCCCTCTTGCAAAAACTCTCCAATAACAGGCCACCAGATAGGGGCCCCACAAGGTTAGGAAGAGGAAAGTCATGATATAGAACATTCTGCTGATTCTTTTCTCCATTTTGAACTCATCTAAGACCAATAGCCTTCTTCTGCCCGTGGTGTTTGCATTTTGCCTGATGCCCAGCAAAGTGGGTGGTGTGGGACCCCTTCCAAATCCTGCTAGCCAATTGGCAGCTGCCTGGCCACTGGCTCCGGGGCCATGAAAAGTCCAGTTCTGGCTGACTGCTGCTACAAACTGGACTGGCTTCATTTTCCTTCGGTCGTGGACAAAAAATATCAGCTTGAGGTAGACAAGCTGTGTGGCTAGGAGGATGAGAGCAAGGAGCAGCATAAATCCTAGGGAATCATTAGCCCTGAAGGAGCGGTGTTGGAAGGTGCATTGATCTTCCTCCCTAATGAAGGAGTAAGTGCCCACATCTAAAACTGGGGGGAAGGCCATGGCCACAGACAGAGTCCACACCATGCAGATCACAGCCAGACACGTCCAAAAGGTCAGCCTCTTTGTATAGAAGCGGTGATGGGCGATAGCTAAGTATCTGGTGACACTGATGCAGAAGAGCATGAAAGCAGTGTGGAAACAGGACAAAACCCCCAGAAAGGCAATCACTTTGCAAGTCAGAGTCCCATAAGTCCAGGTAGAGCCATTTTTGACAGAGTTGAATACAAATGGGAAACAAATTGCAGATCTGAGGATATCTGAACAGCAAAGATCCAACAGGAAGTAGTAAGGTGCTCTATGCAAAGTCTTATCTTTCACTAGCAAAATGGAGATCAGAAGGTTGCCCACAACGCTGACTCCTATTATGAAACCCAAGGAAGTCAGTTTCAGAAAGGCTGTCAGAGGAGAAAGATTTTGCAAAATGTTGTCGGCTGCATGGCTATAGTTCGCCATAGATGGATGGAGGATAAAGATACAGCCTCAGTCAAGTCTCATGATCTAGATATAAGAACAAGGAAAAGATAGATCCATACATTTTACTGGAAATGTAATCCACAAAGAGAACTGATCCGATCTGCAGTCATGCTTCCTCTTTTCTTCCAGTTGATTTGCCATCGGAATATCTGAAAAAAAAAAAAGAGCTATCAGTTCTTAAGTTAACAAGTAATGATGTCAGGCAGTGCTAACATAAAGTTGTTCGTTTTTGGGTAAGCAAATAAAGTTTTAATTTCGAATAACATTATTTGCTTTAGTATTTTTGCTTGAGATTTGAGAGAATTGGCTTTTTAAATTTTCTGAGCTGGACAAATTTAAAAATGTCCTTATTTTGGAGAACATATGTTTGGACCGAAGGAATAAAATGTTCCACAATCGTAAAATATGCCAATCCAGGAATTAATCACTAGTGTTGCAATGGGATCTACAAGATTGCTAATAGGAGAGAGACAGAAGACTATGTACATTTATTTGAGGTCTGTTAGTATCTGTCAGTGTTTTACAGCCAGCTTCTCTTCTGCTGATGTGGATCCAAAGAACCCTTGCAAAATATATGTCTTTTAACTCAAGTGCCAGTATTCATGCTGCATATTGTAAGAAGAGTATTTGTTGATTCATCTTAAAGCATAATTTCAACATTAGACCTTGAAATTAATAGGACTTCTCCCAGGATTTGATGTGATTTAATCTTTTGTCTTTCCCTCCCCACCCCACCCCCCATTTTTGGCAAATCTTTTCTTTTTTAAGTCCATATGATTATTAAAAATGATTAATGTAAATATTGGCCAAGGAAACACACCCAAAGGAATAATGCACTTGCATTTGTAAACCCTGGCTGCCTGAATTCCAATGAATTCAACATGAACCTTTATTTCTTGGGCAATTAAGTCTTCCCCATTTGCACGGACAATCTTTGTTGCAAATTGCAAGTGGCTTCATTTTAAAACGAAATGCACATCATCTCCTAGGTGCCTGGGAGCCACACCAGGGAAATCAGCTTCCTCTTATTCCCACGAAGCGTGCTTCCTTGGCCACTTCTCACTTGCCCGGAATATGCTGATGGAAGCCCAGGCAAAACTGCGTTCGATGATTTTAATTTCCTCACCGGTACATCCCCGGGTAAATACCGATCGCATCATGCAACATTACGAAACCTGAAATCCGCCACCCCTGGATTTATAATGGGGGGTGGAGGAGGGGGAGTGGGGGGAGAGAGAGAGAGAGACATGCATTACATACGCGAAGATGGGGAGAGAGATTGCTTCTGTGCTGCAAGGGAACTGTTCCCGGTGATTCGCAGTCTGATATTCCTCAGTCTTGCAACGCTTTCCAGAAATGAAGCTCTCAATAAGCCCTACTGAAGATGCATTGTCTGAATGTACTTCCATTATGCAGTTTATTGTAAAAAAAACAAAAAAACAAAAAACCTCAGGGAGGGTTCTTTCCCGGTGAACCTGCAGTTTCATCGACACTGTGCGCCCCCCTCCCCCCAAACTTAACGGAGAGTATATCCTCCTACCTGTTGGTGTTGGATATCCCGACAGACTATAGCTTCTTCTTTCTATAAATTGCTGATTTTTTTTTTTTTTTTTTTGCCTTAGTGCCTTGACTGAGCATCCAGGCAGGGCTCGGCGGCGCCTGCGCGCTGGAGCCTCCTTGAGCTCCAGCCGCGTCCTCCCCTGTCGCAGCGGCACCGTCTCCCCCAGTAACGCAGGGGCCGTGGCGGCGGCGGCGGCGGCGGCGGCGGCGGTGGCGAGGGCGGCGGCAGGGGCTGCTTCAGGCTCTGTGGAGCCAACAGGCGCCTCGACCCGTTTCCAGAGTTGGCTGGGTTAATTGAATGTCCTGTCTTGTTGAACTGGCAAAATTAGGCTTTTGTCCCCTTGTGGCTCCTTCTGAACTTTTCCCTCCCGGCATTTGAAGTGGGGGCTTGGAAAGGCTGGATCAGGACCTCAGGCCCACCCTCTTCCCTTAGGGCAGCGCCCGGAGAAGCCCGGGTGCCGAGGGCGCCCGCCCCTTCCTCAGCTTCCCGGAACCCTCGCCTTCCCCGAACATTTTCTTCCTTTCTCTTTTAGGGTGGTCCGAAGCATTGGAAGCTTCTTTTAGATTTCTTCTTTAATGATTTCCCCAGCTGACCTTTGATTTGCAGGCTAGCTGGGAAATAATAATAATAAGGAAAAAGAAAAAAGAAAGAAAAGAAATTAAATATAAAAGAAAAGCTTAGTCAAAAATTTTGCCAATGGGGAAGAAGGGAAAGCAGGTTAGGGCAGCCTTGTCCTTTGTTAGTCATCTTCTATTCTCGAATGCACGGAAATATGTGTTAAGTAGGGAGAAGCTAAGTTCAGGGGACAACTGCAAAATGCTTTACATCCATTCTACCTTAACGAATAGACTATAGAATCAGGCTCACAAAAATGTTAAATGACTACTCTTTGCATGCCACCCCACCGAGCAAGTGCCTTTTTTTTCCTTCTTTTAAGCCGCTGACCAATAAATTGGTAATGTCAAAGCAGTTGTGTGTGTGTTTCCTTCCTGCCCCCCTTTGTTATTACGGAAGAAAAACAGTAGGAATATAACGAATTTGTAAAACTTACACCCGTCCAAAAGGTCCGAAGATATCACAAGACACCACATAGCCTGACACCTGAGTGCTTAGGGATGCCTCTGGAATCATGCATTTCCTTGTTTTACCATTTCCGAAGAGTTTTGTTTGTGGGGGTGGGATGAGGTTTTAAACAACTCTCCGCTCTCCACCTCCAAAAAACGAGCAGACGTGCTTTCATTAATTCCCAACGTAAAACGTCTGCTTCTCTTCCTGCATGCTTATTGCTTTATAATAATCTGTTAATGAAACAGAAAAAATAAAGATCTTCTCTACAGTAATAATTTGATCTCCAGACAGCAGTAAAATACCTCATTGCTGGGTGGTGAGATTGTGACATTAGGGGGAACTCAAGCCAATCAGCATACAGATAATATGGGTTAATTTACATATTGTATTTCTATTGGACATACGGAGGTAAAGCTTCTCTGTTTAAGCTTAAAAATGAATACTTCACTGTCATGATGTCACAGTCATTACACAAAGCCCTATGTTGGTAATACTGAAGTGATGTTACATTTCCCTGATTTGTTTTTGGATATCCTAAACCCGTTAAAAAGTAGATAATGATTTGTTTAAAAAAGGTACCTAACTTTGGCATACCCTTAACCTAGAAAAATCAATCCTACAGCGGTACTGGAAGTAACTCGAGGGCATTTCCATTCAAGTGAAACATTCCTCTTTTTTGCAAAACAAATAAATTCGGAAGAGCTCAAAACTATATGCTGGTTTGCAACTTGTAAGTGTAATGTCAGACTCGTTTTTTATGGAACTACAAATCAATTCAATTTGTTCTTTTATACTTCCCAATTAGTGGCTCAATGTACTTTGCAAAGAGTTATTATTTCCTGAATGTTTACAGTTAAAAAATCTATAGAATAAGGGACTTAAGTTTGTTGAAGATTCATGATTGGCAAGATTTTAGGTTGTATGGAAAAGCTATTTAAAAGTAAATTAAAAGGGTGACTGCACTGCCAGGCCATGAGGCAATAATTTACTCTGCCAAAAAGTTTAGTGCCAAGATCCAAGGGTTTAACTGTCCTTAAAGATAGTTAAACCCTTGGATCTTGGGAAGCTGGTATTGATTCCTTAAAAATAAGAGAGGGGACGTGTGTATGCAATATTCTTTCATATCCACATCTCAGGGTGCTGTAGAGCTGTTATTTTCCTTTGCATCTGAGCGCAGTTATATCCACTAGCTCTTCAGTTTTTCCAGCTGTTAGATGAGAATGTCATTTTCTTGCCTCACAAGGGGGCTCAAGAAATTAATGAGATATTTTCCATTTAGTTCATTAACTCTACTGGAGAAAATGTTGAAGTCTGCTTCTTCCATCAACAGGAATTTTTAGAAATATATCTGATAGCTGACAAAAGCTTCATATCATCTACAAGTTCTCAAATGTGAAGTTATGGCTTCAAATTTTTCAGGCAGTAACGTTATTGATCTTAGCTAATTTCTTTTTGATTCCTTATATCGCCAAACCTAGAAAAACTGATTGTCAGGTTAATAAAGGGACAAAGCAAACAACAACAAAATACTATATACCCTGGATTTGAAGATTCTAAAGATCTGAAGGATTTAAAGTTTTCAAGCTCTTGGCATATTGCATTTACTGTATTGATCAGTGGCTTAGGAAGACTGAATTTGCTTAATTGGATTCTTGTAATAAATGTATACAATTTTATTTAAAACAGCAATTATCTTCTTTTCAAAATTAATCAGACATTTCAGATTTTTGCCAAGTGTTGCACAGCTCATGATGGGCAAATGCGGTGTTTTGTTCCACTCATTGTTTATGTGAAAATGTGTCAAGAAGTAAACAATTCTTGGTAAATGCAGAGAATGATAGGCTAGGTTAACATGTTCTAAGGAAAAATTTTTAAATCATTCAAAGTGCTATCTCTGTTGCTTAAAGCTTGTCATTAAAACTTTGAAAACATGTATCTTTGATATTCTCAACTCTAGCCAAATCTAAAGCTGTATATGAAAAAGAGGCTTCTATACATTTTCTGGAAGCTATCAGGTTAAGAAAGGCTCTCATCAGGAACTTTTGCATAGAAATATTTTCTAATAGGTTATTTTAAAAATTCACTAACCTAGAATAAGTGACCAAGAAAAAGGGAGATTGTGCGTTTATATTTTGATAATGGGTTTCACTTTCTAGTCTATGGAAAAAAGTGACCTTTTCCACAGTGACATCTAAGTAACTGGAAGTTTCTAGGGCTTTGTACTCTATCTGCTTGAGGAACACAATGGTGAAAGAATACACTAGACCTAAAAAACTACCACAGGACTTTTAAAATTGTGCCTCGGGAGTTCGGAATAACCATAATTGTGAACACCTCAAGCAGTGAAATTCCTTCAGAATTTTAATGAGTTTTGAAAAGATTAAGAATCTGGCATGTTCCTTTCCAAAATGCTAAAAGGTTCATTTGTCAGATTTTTCTCTCTGCTCTCACAAAACAGGTTCCAAAGTGTTAATGTAATTCATTTTTAATTTTAAAGCTAGCATCTCTAAGACCTTCCTTCTCAATTTAAGATCCAAGCTTTTAAAAACTTAGCAATTTCCCTTCTCTGACCTTTATGTTGAGAATTTTCTTCTCTCTGAAAACTTTAAGACTTGTTCCTTTATTTAATTCATTTAACAAACATTTGTTGAGATCCTATACTGTAGGAATCACTGTGCTAGATCTTGCAAGAAATGAAAATCAAGAGAGAGGACCAGTGTCAGGCAGCTGCATCAATGTAGGGAAAGTGTGACCTGACAGAAGTGGGAGCAGGGTGGAATGAATAGAAACAAAGGGATAGATCAGATTGTAAGGGGAGGTAGAAGCTATTTTTGTTATCAAGTGATTAGTTAAGGGAAGCGAAAGAGATTGAGGAGTAAGAATTGACTCTAAGGTTTGGTGCTTGGTTAACTGGGAGGTTGGCGCCACCATTAACCAGGAGTAACAAAAGTCAAGAAAGAGGTAGCTGGTTTGCTAAGAAGAGAATGAGTTAAGTTTAGACATACTGAGTGTGAAATGCTGGTGGAACATTCCAATGGTGATGTCTTACATGCAGTTAGAAGTGAGGAGACCAAGGTCAGGAAGTACCTACAGGTGATGGTGGAGGTAGGGTAACTATTGGGTGCCATTGCCAGGGGACAGATTGTTGACAGAGAAGAAGGGTGAGGTTAAATAAATAAGCAAGCATGCCCATTCTCCTCCCTCTGGGCAAACTGAAAAACTAAGAGAATGCTTGCATTTAAGAAACAAGAAGGAACATGGAAGGACCAGAGGTAGAACAAACTGAAAGGAAGGTGGAGCACCGGTGTCATAGATCCTGAGGGAGGTGAGAATGTCAAGGAATGTCAGGGAATGTCAGTGTAACTTGGAGGTTTAAAAGGAAAAGGGGTGAGAAGATATCCTTGGATCTGGTGATAAGGAAACAATTAGCAAGCTTTGAGGGAGCAGTTCCAGAAGAGCGAGTCAGACTGCAGGCATTAACAAGTGAGGGACAGGAGTTTAAAGGCTTATAAGGTCAGGCTAAGAAACTATTTTGCTGTTTATGACAGCACTGTCTTAGTGATAAAGGTTTTAATGGATTCTTTTGAAGTTTTATGTACAAAGTGATAGCTACTTAAATAAATATAGTATGCCTTCTTCTTCTGGAAGTGTTTAAAACTCCTCTTCTGTTAACATTATTTCAGTGTGATCCTGTGAATGAAAAGAGCAAATGCAAGTTTCCCTACTAATGCTCCACAAAACTTAAGAGTTTTGATGAAAAGTCCTTGGTTTATTAAAATGTTCTAAGTTGTCTCCTTCCCCTTTGCTTTTTTTTTTTTAGATGAAGTTAAACCATGAAAAAGAGAAAAGTGACCCATGTGGTTGTGGTGTGAGAGTGAGTATGGTGTGCATGTGTGTGTGCATTTGTGTTCGGAGGTGGTGTGGAGGCAAAGCAAATGTTGGTAAAATAATTAAGAAGTGGGAAGTTTCATTTATATTCAGGTTAATGACGAGTCATACATATCTTATAAGGACTGTAAATTTTCGCAGAATAAAAATGCAATATAATTTTAACAACTCAAGAGGGATAGGCATTTTTTTCTTTGGTTATTTAGAGGTTACCTCAATCTTACAGTGTCTTAAGGCCATTATTATAAGCACTAGTGATATGATAATATGAACGATTATGGTTATTTAAGCTTTTGTGGTGTTTAGCTCTTTGACAAACAGCATAATTAAAACATGGCTGAAAGAAAATGTGTCATCTAAGACTGCAATTTCACAGCTTCCCATATTGACTGTCCAGTCCTGCCTTCTGATTTTCTGATTAGCCCTTCCACTTTCATTTCTCCTAAGTTTTTAAACTTTATAATTTTCTCTTTATAGTGTAATAACGAAGAATAAAACAAAGTTCCCATACTTCATAAATATGGTTACTACTTTAATTTGGTTAACATTTGGTTAAAATAAAAGTGTGATTATTATCTGCCTAATTTTACATCAAAGAGGATTTAAGAATAAGTCCTGGGGCAACATGGTTTCATTCATTCAGCACGTCATCATCTCCACCAGAACATGAACCCTCTGAGTGCCCAGACACTGTCTTGTTTTGCTCTGTTCCTCCCTGGTGCCCAGACAGAACGTGGCTCATAGAGACACTTCCCACATTTTTGTTGAATGGGCGATTATGAACTTATACATAAAAGGGGCTGAGCTAGGCACTGTGGGGAGGATATAAAAGAAAAAGAAGAAAAAACAGTGACACAGGCTCCGACTGAACTCTGTTTTTCTTAATTTAATAAGGTTGGGATAATTATTTGTATTATGGGCAGATAGTTTTTTTGGCCAAGGATTTCCCCTGGATTTGGGGGAATTTTGTTTGCTTCTTAGCCTTATTACATTAGCATTTACATGATTCTTATTTGCCTTCCTATTCAGTAATTTCAAACCATTTTCTAATAACATAATGTCTCTCATGCAGATTATGAGCCAAGAGCAGATATTTTATATTTTGAGCTCCTAACCTGGTGCTCAAATACGTGACAAGGTATCTGCAGCTTTTATCTGGCTTTGGACTTATGATCATTAATTTTTATTTATTTATTTTTTTTAGTGAGGAAGATTGGCTCTGAGCTAACATCTGTGGCAATCTTCCTCTATTTTATATGGGATGCCACCACAGCACGACTTGACGCATGGTGCCATGTCTGCACCAGGGATCTGAACCTGTGGACCCCAGGCCACCGAAGTGGAGCTCGCATTAACCATTACACCACTGGGTGGCCCCAAGATCACTAATTTTTTAACAGCCAAAAG